GTGTACAGTCATCAGATTCTTCCCTTCCGGTGAGAGACTTGTCAGTGAATAATGACGTGATCAGCAACAAAGATGCAGAAAATATAAAGAAAGAAAATAAATCTGTGTGAACTGGGTCGGTGGCAGCCGCGGTTGATGACAGGCCGTCTGGCTGAGCGTTGCTGGCCGTGGATACCAGCGGAGATGTATAGAGCATCGCTTCAGGGGCTTTTAAGAAGCCAGTCAGTTGCTTATGCTGAGTCCCCAGAAGTGCTTATTTCCTACTTAAAATAGGAACGCTTTTTCATTAAAGAGAGAGAAGAAACTCCTAGGTGGCCTGTGTTCATCTACAAAGGAAATAGCGACAGAATTTTGGGCCAAGGTCTTGTTTTAGACAACTGGGTTAAAAGACTGGAGACTAATACAGAATAAAGCTTGTTTTGTTCCTAATTATGAAAACAGCATCCTTAGAGCTTTTCTCAAAGAATCCTAAGTGAATGGTGATGGAGTAAGGCTGTTTCATTCACGTCGTTGTGGCTCCTGTAGTTTTGCTCTGCCTCTTGCTGAGACCTGGGGAGATGGAAATCACTAGTCTGTTGTTATACCTCAGTTACTTTCTGAAGAAGTAGGCTACCTGAGCCACGGAGTCTGTTCTTTGGTGTGTTCATGTATCTTATCCCCTTCAAAGGATCCTTGATAAGTCATTATCAAAGGACTGATCAGTTCAAGTCCTTGGCGGTGCTCAGGGGTGGAGCCAAGGATGGAAACCACTGTGTTCACCCATCCCTGGAATATAAGAGAATAGGTTGCCTCAACCTGGGCCTGTTCTGTTGGTATGGTAAGGACAAAAAGTACTCATATTTACAGAAATATGGCCAAATAATTGCCTGCTTACTTCAGTCTGCATCTTTTTATAGCTAATTATTCTCAATCCCGTTATAGAAATGGAAGCTAAGTTTAGCAGATTGTTCGGCCATTTATGTTTAGTGCACAAAATTCTTAATTAACAAAATAAAATACTGCAATCCATTGTAAATCATTTTGCTAAACTTTCAGACTTCATATGGAATCTTGTCTTGTCCAAAAGCTACTTTCAAACCCCTGCTGATCTGGCACTCATACGTCGATTCCCTGTGGAGCTGAGTAAAAGAATGTACAGGGAGCCAATTAAAGAAACTTTGAGCCGGAATAGACAGGCAGAGGCCATCTTGGCCATCCTTCTGCCCCCAGGCAAAAACCATCCCCTGCACCAAAAATTTTTGCTTGAATCCTGCTGACAAAAATGCTCACCACGTGTAAATGACAAGTCATAATCCATTTAATGCAACTAAAGCAGATTGTTAACTGTTCAAGACTTATTTATTGTGTTCTAAGATGCTGAGTGTGAAAGCTCATCTGACTTATTTTAATTCTTCCTTTCTGGACAATTATTTTGTACAAGAAACATACTCAAATAATTGTGAAGCTGTGGGAAATTTGTGTCCAGGAAATGAAGTTATCTTCATCATCTTATTAAATGTATTTTTGGTTTCCTTTCACTCTAGGTCTACCTTACGGGTGGGAGGAAGCTTACACAGCAGATGGAATCAAGTACTTCATCAAGTAAGTGCAAGCATATCAACCAAGTAAGCAATTTTCTTCACATCTGGAGAGAACCTGGAAGTTGCAGAATAATCAGTAAAATAAAGAAACCCTCTTGGAGGTTACAAAAATTAGTAACAAGAAATGAAACTTCACCATTTCCATTTCATGTGATTTAAATGCTAATATAAGATATCATTTAGGGAAAAAAATCTAGTAATTATTTCAAGGGAAACATCAAAAAATTGGAACAAGATCATCATTTGAACCTAAATGTTAGCTGCCTGAATTCACTTCAGGCTAAAAGTATTAATATTTATGCAAAGTTAATATCTAATGAAAAAGCTACTTTGTATGTCTGAAAACTCATTAACAATAATATTAATAATAGTCGACAGTTTTTGAATACCTTACAGTGGACACAGTTCATTCATTTTGCAATTTTTTTTTGAGCGTTTGCTGTGTGCCAGGCACTGTTCCATACCCTGGAGATACAGTAGTGAAATGTACAGACGAGTTCTCTGATATTAGGAATTTACATAATAGTGAGGAAAAAGGTACAACATATAACTGAAGAGTTAAATGAGATGGTACATGAACAGTATACTCATCTCAGTGGATTCTCAGAACACCCTCCATTTATAGATGAAGAAAATAAGAGCCTAGAGTAGTTGCCAAAAAATCCACAGCTACTAAGTCACCAAGCCAGAAGAGAAGCCAAGTCTTCCGACTCCAGAATTCTTTCTGCTATACTACAGAATTTCACTAACACAGACCTCTCTTTGAAAGCCTCAACAGCAGGGAGGGTATGGCTCAAGTGGTAGAGCTGTATGCTCAGCAAACACAAGGTCCTGGGTTCAATCCCCAGTACCTCCTCTAAAAATAAATAAACAAGTAAACCTAATTACCTCCTCCAAAAGTTAAAAAAAATTTTTAATTTAAAAAATAATTTAAAAAAAAGAAAGCCTCAACAGAAAAACATATTCTAGCTTCTGGACTGATTGGTTTGACACTGGACACAGGATCTGATATACTTCCACTGAGTTCTAGATAAAAAGCAATCTCCACATATGGGATTCTCAAGCTCTGTGCCGTTACGCAGGTTCCTATATCTTTCTGCACCTCAGTTTTCTCATCATAAAATTAGGGGAAAGTTACCTGCCTTATAGAGTGGTTAAATATTAAGCACCTGGCTTAAAATTTTAAACACAGGAGATGCCTAATGGTCATCATTAATTTACAAGATGGAGAAATCATCATGGCGGGAAAAAAGAACAAGAAAAATCATATGACCATTAACATTGAGAACTCAAAAACTTAGGGGAGGGTATAGCTCAAGTGGTAGAGCACATGCATAGTATGCAGGAGGTCCTGAGTTCAATCCCCAGTACCTCTTCTAAAAAGAAAGAAAGAAACTTAAGTACCTCCCAACCCTAAAAAAAAAAAGACAGAGAGTTCAAAACTTCATATTTTGAAAAGATTTAAGGAAAAACCGGGGGTAAACCTGGCAAAGTATTTTTATGATGTAGTTTTTTTTTTCTTGTGGTCTCTAGCAAAAAGTAATTAATAAAGCAAAGGTATAGCTTATAACACATGAAGGACAAGGGGACCTTTGGAGCAGAGGACCCAGGAATTCCGTGTGCAGATTACATTTAGCACCATACTATTGACTTCACAAATCATAACTCCTCTGGAAGGAACGTTTCACTCCATAGGCTGTGTTAACTGTTAGGTTCCTGGAAGATCTGAATCACTCTACTGCAGGGGTGGCAGGAAAATGTAAAACCACACTGAAATCTGAATCGGGTTTCTTTCTTATATTCACTTTGTAATGGATAAGGGAAAGGATGTGGGGGTGGGGGGTGAGCATTTACTGAGCTCAGTAGCCAGGCATGTTAGGTGTATTTTTCTACACATGGTATCGTTTAATCTTCTTAACAGTGTGGGAAAGTGAGCATCACTCAGCTCTTACTACGCTGGTTTTACGCAGTGAGGAGCCGCATCCTGCCCTCAGCCGTGCCTATCTCCTAGAAGGTCCTCAAAAGAAATGCTCAGTCAGAGGAATGCAAACTAGCATTCTTTATTGACCAGGGTTCTGAATTCAGATACCTTTGGAAGATGTCAGTAAATGAGTCTGGACCCTGTGGGGAACTCCTTTACCTCAGCACAGCCTTAACCGTCTGTCAGAGCCTAACCAGTGCCCTGTGAGGGAAGGATCTTAAGGGCACAGTCACCAACTACCAAGGAAAAGGAGGGGGCTAGAGACGTGCGTGTGAGTGAGCCAAAGAGTGAGTGTGCTCCATTGCCTGCTACCCAGCCGGTTTAAGCCACTGCCCCTTGCAGGCTGACCAGTGGCCTTGGGCTGGGCTCCTAGTGCAAGAGAAGAATCACATCCAAGGAGAGAGAGAAGAGAAGCAGTAAGCAAGCCCTTGACTGCCCTGAGATCCAGCTCAGTCCCTGTGGGAGGAATCGAAAGAGACTGCATTTGGAAGTCCATCAGTTCTCTTCCTTAATCTTGACTCATAAGGAAAGCAGAAAAGAGACAAGATAGACTTGTTAAAGGACAGCGGGGCGGGGGTAGGGGGGTGTCCTTGTCTCACCATGACAGTTGGAGAAAGCATGTGGAAAAGGGGCTAAACTTGTCCAGATCATGCAGTAATAAAATTGCAGAGCCAGGGTTGTTTGACTCCAGAGCCATCCCCCGAAACACACACACACCCGTGATGCACCATCCTCACCTCCTTACTTTAATGGAATGTGTTTACGTGTCACCACAAAGATATTTTTAAACAGATTCCGATTTAGGTAGAACTCTATGTTGTATCCATTTCTAAACAGCAGGATAGAAACTTAGTTCTAAGAATAAGTAGTTATCTCCTGGAGATCAGAAAGGTCAAATCTAAAGGGGAAAAAAAATCTAATAGTTTATCAGTTCTTTATCCTGTCTCGGGGAGGAATGGTGTGCTTATGATGAGTTGGGGTTTTTTGTTGTTTTTTTTAGTAGAAGTGAACCCCATTCAAGCATCAACACTTAGTTATTCTTGATGAAAGTCTTATTTGAAAAGCATTGCATGCCTCCCTGCCTTCTTATACCAAGGCAGGCCACTGAACAAAATCATTACGAACATCAATCTTATATATAATACAGTGAGTTCTGCAGGGAGATATTAAGCTGTCTAAGCTAGACTAGAGACACAGCTGTCATCTCTTTCTGCCCTCAGCATGCCTGGCCATCTCCTCAACCCCATTTCCCTTCTCATCCTCGGCACACTTTACCCTGTTACCCAGGACTTTCTTACCTGAGGCGGACAGGATGTCTAATAATCAGACTTATGTGCATTGCTTGTAAATAGTCTTTTTTAATTTTTTTTATGTTTTATTTTTGAAGTGCTTGTTTACAATGTGCTTGTTCCTGGTATACAGCAGAGTGATTCAGTTATATATGTATATTTCTTTTCATATTCTTTTTCACTGTAGGTTACTACGAGATATTAAATATAGTTCCCTGTGCTACACAAAAGAAACTTGTTATTTATTTTATATATACTAGTTAGTATCTGCAAATCTCGAACTCCCAATTTATCCCTTCCCACCCCCTTGCCCCCCGCTGGTAACCCTAAGTTTGTTTTCTGTGTCTGTGAGTCTGTTCCTGCTTTGTAAATAAGTTCATTTGAGTCCTTTTTTTAGATTCCACATATAAATGATATCATGTGCTATTTGTCTTTCTCTTTCTGACTCACTTCACTTAGAACGATCATCTCTAGGTCCACCCATGTTGCTCTCACTGTAACATCTTGATGAGGGTTTCTTCTCAGCTCTCAGCTGCGTCCAGAGAGGTTGCCTGGTAAGTGATGTCTGCTTTAGCAAGCATCTGCTATGTGTCTTTCTTGGAACTATTTAGATTTTTGTTTTTTCGTCCTCTCATTACCCCAACCCAAATTTTGAGCCTGGATAGCCTGTGGTAGCTTTTGAGGTAGGAGTAGTTCATTTACCAGGTGAATGGTGCTTTGAAGGCAAGAAACAGCAAGTAATGAACTCGGGTCATTGCCTCCATCTCACCTTTACTGAAAAGAACAGTGACTGAAATCACCCTTCCAGCACACTGGAGGAGATGATGGTCTGTGAACATATACTCTCCTCCCTGAGACTGACACCTGTCACTGTCTTCCCAGAAACTGAATTGTTACACTGGCGGAAGCCCAGCCTCAGGCAAAAGAATAGCTGTCAGTGCTGTCCCGAGAATGCCCAGATGAAGACAGTCCCCCCTGAACAGAGTCCTGTCCGTCCACGTGTGCAGCGCACACCCATTAGTGCTTTGCGGTCACCTCCTTTCCTCCCGACACAATGTTTAGAGCATTTCACCTGCTGTAGACAAACGTAATTAAAATACTGGCATTGCTAAAGCCAGCGTTTTGTAGAACTAACAAACGTATATGTCTATATGTGTGTGTGCGTATTTTCCAATATATGTGTGCCCATGTGCAAACGGGCAGGGCTTGCTCACTTCCTGTATACATATTATGTAATATATATGTATATATCAGTGCATTCAAGAGGAAACTTTCTTATTTTCTCCTTAGAGATGGAGTTGCAGCATTCGTAAGCTCGATGACAAAATGCCAGTCATCTTGATGGTGCTGTCATGGGTTATCTGATTAACCTGACCATTGTACTGTCTATCTTTCCTTCACAGTTATATACAGATTTATATACAGTTATATACAGATCTATATACAGTTATATATAGATTGCAAACTATTACAAATTTATAATAGTCTTTTGACATAATTTCACTCTTAAAAAGTTCAAATATTTTATATGTGTGTTATACAGTTTAACAAAATTATAGTAAGAGTTGTGTTTGATACTAAAAATACACTTAAATATCGCACATTAGACATAGCTGCTACATTGCTTGCATCATACTGGTTTTCTGTTGAAAGGTTCAGATTCACTGTGATCAGTGATGATGATTGTATTAATTCCCTATTGCTGCTTAACATAGTTCCAAAATTTTGCAG